TGAGTGATCAGTGGGTTCCCACTAAATTATTGGGATAGCGAACTTCATGGCTCTCTTTTCCCCTCTGTACCATCCTACAAAAATACATTTATTTCACCCATGACTAATGTGTAAGAGATTCTCGCAACATTTTTCAATATGAACATTTTTTTCATTAATATTGAAAATTGTAAAACATTTCAAAATTTAAATCTTTTGCAATTAAAAAAGATTGTAACAAATTTCATAGCATAAAATTCTGAGCAACAATTGCCCATCATACCTTCCAGAGTTTGTTGCATTGCTCGCAGGTGAAATGAGGTGCCCAGGGTTTGTCTTGATCCCCGACAGGCATGCCGACATATGCCTTGTAGGCCTCACACATCTTAGCAGATGCTTCCAAAGAATACTTTTTCACTCTTGTCTTGATAAATTGGCTGCAGACATAGCAAAATGCGTCTGCTGGATGTTTTCAGCCTCTTGATGCCATCTCAAGAAAATGCAGATATGTATCCACTTAGGAAGCTGGAACTAAACTGAACTGGTGGGCTTAAGGCCCCTGCATTTATACTACTCTTTATATTACTGAAAAGTTATAGAATGTTCTAGAAGTTACTCCAAGTTTACTCAGCACTGAATCTATCTGGAATGTTCTGGAAAATAAGTAAATTTCTAAATATAACTGTCCTGGTCACAAAAGCAAAGTTTGTGGGGAATAATAGCCATTTTGTATACATTTGAGGCATACACAATTAGGAAATAACACTGACTACCCAGGAACAAAAAAAAATCGATAAAATTATTAATTATAATTAAAGGTAGTTGGACATATAGAAGTCAACTTTCTGGGTGAATGAATCTGAAAGTAGATGTTAAATGTAGTTCCTGTGATGTCGTTCACAACAGTAGTACATGGTGAACCGTCAAAACCCACATCTCAGTGTGAAATTACAAATACATTTCAAGAAAAACACATAACTGTCACGATGAAACCGCATTCATGTATCCCTTGCAAGAGAGACAATGCATCTCAATGGCCTTTAATCCTAACTAATGGACAGTGAGTGGAATTAACTAACGTCAACGGATCTTTTGCTGAATTAAGCAATTCCTGGAACATTCTATGAGGTGCAATGCTTCACTGCAAATTACCGTAAACTGTGCCTGCCAATCAGCTCTCACACAGTGAATAACCTGTCTTTTGAGAGCCAAGTTCAAAGATGCATTTTCCATTACGTTTTTCCAGTAATACGTAGCAATCCAGGCGTTTTTAATCACGCTTTTAGCAGAAATTCCACATTTGTCCATGTGTACATTAAAGCACTCAAAAGCCATCTCATTATGATACAGTGCACAATTATTCATACGGTTCCAGCTTCGTGACACTATGGTGACGCACTCAACCCCCTTCTCGCTCAGCCTGCCGTCCCTCTGGAGTTGCTAAAGTAAGTGCCCCTTGGTTGCAATGGCCATGTTTATCTTCCTTTGCCATCGGAACTTGGACTGTCCACCATTGGCTCAGGACCACTTATAGAGATGAGCAAGAAACCAACGTTCATTTGAGATCTTGTCTTGTCTTAAGCCATTCTCGACCTGAGGGTTGGTCGCATCATGGGTAATCCTTCACCACTGACTTCCGTCTTCTGCTATCCTCCTTGTCTGGTCCAGCATGAGCCTCGGCCATGCTTTGATGTTATCCATCCATGTCATCCCTGGCCTTCCTCGCGCGTGAACCGGGTTTTGTGCCTTGCGTAATCTGCTTTTCCAAACAAGTTCCATTTTTTCTCATGACATGACCATAGTAGGCTAGCTTTTTTTTAAATTTATTTTATCACCTCTAACAGTTATCTCATTTGAGATATCAGACGTTTTAGTGTGTTGTTATTATTTTTCGCAGTGTATTAGTTTACCTGAAATAAAATTAACATTTTCCTTTTGCAGTATGTAAACACAAGAGAGTAGTTGCCGGTTAAAAGAAAAAAACAGATTGGATTATATTTTTAAAAGACAATATCAGATGGACTTTAAGATGTTCAGGTCATTGGCATCTTTAGGAATTTTAGGCGCCTTTGTGCAAACAGGTAACTTCATCCGACGTCACGTGACCCCCCCCCCCCCCTCTGTTGGCAGGAAAAAGTGTGAAAGAGTCTCCACATTCTGTAACGTCACATTTCTTTTTTGGGATAAATCCAGGGATATCCGGAAGACGTGCCTTGCGCACAGCATGCGCCATAACCTGCACACAGACTATAAACACTATGATTTTGTCAACGCTACTTTTTTTACGATGTGATTGTACACAGAGAGGTAAACCGTGCTGATCTGGCGCGACACTCCCCTTCGCAGTCACCTCTCAGAGCAACGCGCGACAATTCCATCGTCCCCTTTTGTACGGATGCCTCTGCGGAACCAAAAAAGTCAATCACCAGCCGAGTGGGCGGAGAGAATGGACGTAATGACAGATCGAGGGCAGTGACGGCACGATCAGAGCGCGGGCCCCACGCCTCTCCAGCCGTTATCGTGACATCGCCGTGAATTGCAGCATCGATGATGGGCTCGCTCTTTCTCTCTCTCTCTCTAGCTCGCTCTTGTTCGCTTACTGCTATGAGTAATCATATTGTGCTCACCCGTTCTATTATTACGCGTGCCATCTTGTCAAGCCCACTTGCAAAACATGCAAACCCGCCCACCGCGCTCTTCGGCATGCACTCGCTCACCCACCCCGCCTCCTGTCATGCACCCGCACGCACGAACGCAGGCGCGTGTGTGCGCGCAAACTCTCTCGCCGACAGTTGTACCATCGCTCGCTACACAGTGCCTTGCGCTTGCTGCTCTTTGGCAATTGCCTACCGAGGCAGTCCCTGCACCTGGATCTTGGAACGTTAATACTGGTAGGAACCTCCTGGTTACACCAGCTCACAGGGGATTATTGTGTCCGTCCGTCGTGCAGGAAGGGGCTGGGTGGTGAGGGTCTGGGTGGGGAAGGTGGAGAGGGGCTGGGTGGGGAGGGGCTGGGTGGGAGGGTGGGGAAGGTGGGGAGGGGCTGGGTGGGGAGGGAGGGGCTGGGTGGGGGGTGGGAGGGGTGGGGCTGGGTGGGGAGGGGCTGGTTGGGAGGGGCTGGGTGGGGCTGGGTGGGGGGTGGGAGGGGTGGGGCTGGATGGGGAGGGGCTAGTCACCCCGTGGTGCCCTTATAAAACTCAACGTTTAACCTACTCACGCCGGCTTGTGCCCGCACTCACAGTCGAGCATATTTGCGGAATACACCACGCCGCCGTTGACCCTGGCCATTGACCGAGCAACCCAACGTTCCTACCAGCTCCCTCCGCAGGACAATGTGTTGAGATACACCATCATGAATTGTGGTACATCCACTGCTGGGTGAAGTCCTCCCCAATGCCATCGCCGTGCCCGCGCCGTCCTGCAATGCCATGATCCATGTCAGTGCCTCACCGTGAGCTGATCTCACTGCTCCATCTCCACAGCGGTTGTCCTCTCGGGCACACGTCTCTTGCTTTTGAGGTTCCCGTAACGCCTTTCACCCCTTGTGTCGGCATCATCCCTTTTCGCCAAGATGCATCCCCTCCCAAGCCCAAGTGCTCTCCTTGGCAGTTCATCTGATTGTCTAGCCTTGCTCATTGCGTCTATCTCCCGGCGTTTGAGTGTATATTCTGGAGGGCATTTCCCCATGCCTCTTTGCGTACAGATTTTGCAACGGTTAGCGCCCCCACGCTATGAACCCGGCGACCCCGAGTTCGATTCCCTCTCACAGTCAACGCCAGTGACGAGCTATTTGAACCGGTCCTGGGCCTCCCCTAGGTCGACTCAGTCACAAATGAGTATTTCACCTGGTGCGGTGTGATTACATCGCCACTCGGGAGACAAAGGCGGCCGGGCGTTGTACTGGCCACCCACCCCCTCGAACACTGTTCCAGCCCTCATTGGTGCTCGATAACAGCACTTGCCCCCAGAGTCTGTGAAGGCTATACGGGGGATCTTTGTCTTTGATCCATATATCAATACAATGGATGGTGATGTGAAGGATACGTATTGTATGTTCATGTGTTATTAATATTCCCCATAATAACGCTAATGAGTATTTTGACATACATCAATAAGAGATTATGCTCACCGATTTCAAGCGTTTTTCTCTTGGCACATTGGAACCTAAAAATGTGTCGCATTGGGCATGATTAAAAGCGTGCATTTAACACGCTCCGAAGAGCAATATATATGGACATTTCCAGCCTCAGACTTCAATTGCCTGAACCCGACACGGAAGTGGCAGTACAACAGCAGCAACGTGGCAATTCAGCTGGCAGCTGGAACGCGTCGGACTGACAACGCTCAAGTGTGAGGCTGGCAATTTGCACTTCTGTTGCACTTGGGTAAACTTGTCAAACATCTTTGCATGATGAGATCGTGAACGTGCAGTAGATATGCGCACCTATGTAATGCGAATAACCGTGCCACGTAATGTGGCCGGGGTAGACCTGTGGCAGCATGTTCGACTCACAGTTGGTAGTCTTGCACTCACATTTTGGTCGGCAGAAGTCAAACCACAGTTGTGGTTCTATGGCAAGACTTGTCCCAACGTGTGGAAGTTCCACAACTGCTTCAGGACATAATCATTGGTTATGACGGTATGACGCTATTTTGTAGCGGTAAGTCAAAACAATTACCAGATTTGTTTAAATTACGTTAATCTGAAATACATGTAAATATGAAGGACACTCTTTTTAAATGCCTAAACGTTATTTAGCTCTCGATTTAAAGCTTTCGTGACTGCAGGGATTCATATTCTTGGTTCTTTCGGTAAATTAACGTTGAAGGGCAATAATAAAATAATAAAAATAAAACAATACAATTCTCACGACGTTTCGATTGCAATACAAGCAATCATCATCAGGTGTGAAACCCACAGCAAGAATTTTTTTTCAAATCTTTTTTCAAAATTTCTTGCTGTGGGTTTCACACCTGATGATGATTACTTGTGTTGAAATCGAAGCGTCGTGAGAATTTGATTGTTTTCTTTTTATTATTTTATTATTTCCCTTCTACGTGACTTTACCGAAAGCACCAAGAACATGTTATTTATCTCGTAAATCTTCCGTGATTCTTTTTTTTACAAAATAAGTTGATGTAGATAGTATGTTACTCTGACTAACGTTACAATGAAATTGCACAGACTGGCTTAAGCCATCATCTTGGTCATCAGTCTCTTGAGTGCCACTCCAATGTCTGTCTCAGTACAATGACCCCTCCTCTATCTTGTACACGTGTCTCACCTATCATAGCCTCTTCCTCCTGGCTGCTCTCATTATTGGAGATCAAATGTTGCCAAATTAAGTGCAAAAGCAAACTTGATGTCATGTTTTTATTCTTCAGCGGTTACAAACTGGGCTGAAACCATCAGCTCGCTGTACAACATTCCCTCATTAATCGCGAGGGATACTTTCCGCAGATGTTTGTGAATGCCAAATATCATATCGGCTCACGAATAACGTACGTGCAACGTCTGTAGATGATTATAAAGCTTCGAGAAGTTATCTCTCTCTCATCTCTATATTTCATCACGTTCTCTCTCATCACTTTATCACATCGCATTCCCTCTCGTCACCTTCACTTTCTGCCGTCGTGTAGAGTTCCAGATGCGATTCATGGATAGCCAAAACTGCAGATAGCAAGTTCGCAAATAACGAGGGAATAATACACCTCAGGATCCGTTTCGATCAAAGGCAGGAGCTTGGATTTGAACCCAGGATATCTGAGGGGCCAGCTCAGTGCTCTGACCTCTGACCCACGTGGCTATCTCAAAATTGCACCTTGTTTTATAGGAGGCAACAAAGGAAGAGAAGACTAGAACATTCATGAATGTACTTCTTAACACAACAAAATACAATAAACATTAGCACAATATCATTATAGTTGTATCACATATGTATATTTTTTTGTAATGCATATCACTGAAATATCGTGTCATATTCACACATCATCAAAACACATCGGAGACTAGATGTTCCAGAAAAGCACAAACATAATTCGATTTAACTTAATAAACTTCAGATATCATTACTTCGGGCAGAGATCATTTTCTAACGAACATTTCATTCCAATTACAGCAGTAAAACAACACAAAATAATTAGAGGCACACCCACAAGACAATTTTGTGTGTTTAAAAAAAAAAGGAATTTCGGGGAAGATGATTCAAGCAATAACCAATTAATGTACCTCTTTTTGGTTTCGTCAACAATAACTAATTATATTGAAGTGCAATATTGCATTGGGCAAGCTAAAAAGAATGAACGCATTCATTGTCTGCATACTAACAAATCCCATTAGAATTTCTGGTCAGTGCCCAACATTTTCACCGTCGAAAGTACAGTACAATAAATACCCAGACTTTAGTAAGTGGGCAACTTCGTGCATTTCCACGATTGCATTAAACAGTCGATTATTTTTCCATCTCATTTTGCTCTCTCGTTCATTCTGTCTCATTTGTATTGGGTAATTTTTTTACACCATGAGGCTAAAACAGAATGGCATGTCACGTGTTACTTAGATATGCATACGTACAAAAATAATTGTTTCTTACATACCATTTTGACGCATGAATCTTGAGCACGATAATCGATGCTAATTAAGCAATGGATCGTTACTATGTCATGCTTATCAAGCGTGCAATGGACACTATGTAATTAGCATTTTCTATGTTTGATAATACTGAATCGGAGTGCAGCTGTGGAGCAGTGGCAACCACTCTCTGCTATGAATCCTGCACGTCCGAGTTTGAATTCCCGGCCACAGTTCACGTCTGTGGCGAGTGATAACCGAACCAGTCCCGAATCCCCCTCTTTCACCAACATGCATTGACCGGCGTGGTGAAGTGTGGTTAAACACCCCTATGACTGACATTGTGCGGGAAGAATTGTTGTTTTTTTGCATTCTGAATCTTGAATTCATTTAAATTGTGAAGCTTGCATTTTCTTTTTCGTATAAATACTGAATTATCTGAACGTTATGCGAAGCTTCTGCTTCATGCTGCACGTACGAATTCGTATAAGGTTCCATTGATCAGATGTCCTACACGTGAATGCTTTTTCACGGTTTATTGCACGCAATTAGTCTGCGGAGGTGGAACAACAGAGTATCATATAGATTAATAAATACGAATTACAAACTCTTTAAGTGACAACACAACGAGGCTGGGGTGAGCAGAAGGGGCCGTCAGCTTCATCACTCTACTTCCACTGAACTCAAGAAGACATAAAAAAAGTTATTCTGACATTTCTCCTGTAACCGACAATTGAAGACGCATGAAAGGAGGCTGCCCTTTGTGATATTTAGGCAAATCGGCCCCAGCTGTCACCAATGTTTTCTTACATCAGCTCAAAATGCCAAGCTTTCCTGCCCGGAGGCTTCTACCTCTTGCAATTTTTTTTAAACATATAACGAACGCTGCATATTATACCAAGAGTTTAAAGTTCATCTGCTCCGTGGACATTATATCCTTCAGCAAATAAGGCGAAGTCGATGGCCTCCTCGTTTGGATGTAGACGGACGTCTCTCATTTTCCCATAAAGCCGCTGAGAATACAGGTCAAATGTCACTCGGCTGACATCTCTGCCCAGCTCAAATCCCCCTAAATAGCAAACGGCATCATAGTTCAGAGCCTTGTAGCGCCTGTGGGGGTCAAGATCCTCAGCAACGACCAAATCTCCATCTAAATACACCCACATCAAAGTTTGGTTCCTTCGCACAATAACAGAATGCCACTCGTTTTTACACAAATGCGTCACTGTTATGACTACCGGTGCAGACGTGCCTTCACCGAGGTTGACGGCTACTTTGAGGTGGCTTCTTTCGAGTCCCACGGCCAGGTAGTCATTATACCCGTCTTTGGCCAAGCCCAGCCATAGGAGAAGGCCGTCTTTGGACTCTGTGGTGAAATTGAATGAGATTTCATTGATGAGAAGATTCCTTCGGTCATATCTCACGTCCGTGTGCTTGATGTACCCGTCGCCCGAAAACCCGGCCGTCTGAAACGTGATTTTATTTTCACAGTGCTGTCCCTGGAATTGTAGGCGGCATGCGCAAACATACCCCAAGAGATTGAGATTTTCTGTATTCGCCGGCATGCAGGCGGCTCCATTTTTGCAGGGTCGATGCACACACGCAACTGGAGTCTCGCAGGCAGCTCCGGTAAAATGTTCGCCGCACACACACTCAAATTCGTCGCCGTTTCTTGGCCGGCACCGGCCGTTGTTTTTGCAAACCTCATGGCCGCACGCCGTCCCGTCGCAGTCCGCAACGTTGGCCCCTCCCTTGGCCCCGTTTGCAGTCAAGGTGAGCCGCCGCCCGTTCACGACCACCTCCCGCACGCAGCCGTCAAACGCGGAGGGCCCGTCCTCGGTGGCAGAGGATGAGACGGCGCTTAAGGGGAAAACGCCACCTACGAAGAAACTGGTTTTGGCATCGAGTGCCCTCATGCCCAGCCGCTCCCGAGTTGTCACGTTCTTACCGTGGAGTGAGAGGTAACCCGAGTTACCAACTCTCCCGGCCTCCAGCGTGTACCACGTGTCCATTCCCGGGTCCGTTGGGCACGTGGAGGCGAGGCAGATAGTGCTGTCGCCCAGGTTGAACCGCAGCTGGACAAAGCCGCCCGAGAGTGAGATGCTCAGGAAATCTCCTGCGTTTTTCGTGTGACAATGCAAATGGCCAAGAGAATTGACATGCATTACATTTATTTATTTCAGTCATTGTTACACCTTTTTTCATCATGAATGGAATAATCAACATGTATTTATCCAAAAAAAGCATTGCTGAATTTTGAGGCTCTCTTTTTGGATGATTGCTCAGTTTCTTTTTGAAAATCATCCTATGAGATGAACACATTTATATTTTGTTTATAATGCTGCTAAAAAAAACTATTCACAGAATTTTTTCATCATTTTTATTATTATTACTATTTTACCAGGCAAGGCCCACTTAGCTAAATAGCTATTTTTCAGACGCGACCATATTATGGAATGCAACTTATCTCAAAGCCACAATGGCATTAACAATAATAACCACAATCGCTTCACAAAATGCATAGGTACTGTACAGGAGGTGCGGCAGTGACGCAGTTGTTCGTGCACCGTGCGATGAATCTGGAGAACTGAGTTTGATTTGCAATGACGGCCATAATATCAATGCAAGTGATATCGAAGCCAATTCTGGTCCCAAATTTCGCAAACCCACAGTGACCAGTGTGGTGGATACTGCATTGGCGGTGGTGCACTCGTACAAATAGCCAAACATTCAAAACATTAATCAATAACACTGCCTTAAATAGAAAATGTTTTATATAATCGTGAACATTTCGTGCAATTAACATTCTTAACAGCATATACATCTTATTCTAAATCAATGTCACATCATACTCCACGTAATGAACGAGACTCCCCAAGACGTGAATGCAAGGCTACGTAGACAAACACAGAGGCAAAGCACCTTACTTCCTGTCTATGGAATATCCATTTGAAGCTCTGCCACTATAAATAGAGAGCTCCCCAATGAACTACAGGTGCTTCATTTTACCCTTTGCATTAAAGGGCAGTGTTGCGGATAGACGGAGGCATGGAGGCCGGTAAGTGAAGCCGAAGCCTTTCGCGGTCGCATTTCGACGAGGTCCCAGAGTTATTTGAAGCTCGAGTCGTCGCCTAAGCGAAGCACTTTTCTCGAAGTTCAATTGGCAACACATTTCGTCTGGATTCGAATTTGGTGATATCTGCCGTGAACCCTAGCCGGGGAAGGTACTTTACCTCCAGAGCAAAAACGGCTTTGATTTTTACACCCGAGCGCTTTCAGGACGAGTGTGCTCTGTGAAGATGAGCGCACATTTATAATTGGTTTGAAGTTTAAGGTATTAAAATAAGTGCTTGCTGCCACAAATGCCAAAAATGTAACTGACATAGTAGCTGACAATGCCAGGCATTGGCCTTAGAGGCGGGGGTGTGATCAAGGTGGTTGCCTAGGGTGCAAAACTGTACAGAGGTGCCGGAAAATATAGAGAGACAGACAGAGTGAAGAGACAGGCAGAGAGAAGAGAAAGGCGCAGAGCTGCATCGAGAGACACCGAGAAATGGACAAAGGAGAAACATTGGCAGAGAACAACACGGTGAGACAGAAATAGGAAACCATCATCCTCTCCCTACCTGATGAAAACCTCTCTCATCATCAACACAACTTGTTCTTCCAGGGAACCACATATGTTAAGGCTGGCCCTACCTCACAAATATTAGGTTTAAAATATGACTTATATGTTAACATAATTTATTACAAAATAAACATATTTCAGGATGGTTTGACTGCCAGCTCCAGTCAAGTGTGTGTGCATGTTCAATCAGCCAAAATTCTCAATACGGTTTTTGGATTTCTTAAAATATTAAAATGTGAAAATATCAGCAGCGTGTTTAAAATAAAGTCACGTGCTGCATATAGCACCAGCCCCGTTGGAGAAAAAGGGGAATAATTTTTTTGTAACAGAGCAGAGACTAATTATATTAAAACAATTATGTCGTGTCGCTGTACAAGCACGTAATATAATCAGCAAAATATATGGACATTTAAAAAGAGAATTAGGTAAAGATTAACATTTGTTTCAAAACTTTAGAATGGAATTAATCCAAAACTACTGTCACTCAGGGGACTCTGCAATTGCAACAATGTTATCTCATTGAGCCTTAATGTGAGCTCCATGCAACAGACCCTTGGCGTATGCAATGATTCGTCAAATCACTTGGCACGTGGGTCATATTGAGAACCAATCACAAGTGAATACTCTCAGCATGGCAGTGTTCAGCTGGAGCAGCTATTTTTCCCACTTTACATAGAGGACATGCTTATTTTTTTAACCAGGTTACAAGTATTGCATATCCCATCTATGCCACTTAGAAAGAGGGAATCTCTCCCTTGTCCAGATCTCTCTACAACTATCTCACGATGTGGAATTAGACTCAATGAAGCATTACGTGATTCCTTCCAGTGTGTTTCCAATTGATGAATTTACCTATCGCCTGAACAGTTACCGGTTTTCCAATTATCTTTAATGTGCAAATAAGTGTCATTAATTTGAATTATAAAGTTATCAAGAAATTGATAGGACAGATAAAAAAATTGTATACGCCCTTCCAAACAACTCGTCATCCTCCCAAACAACATTACAATGTAAATGATCGTGATATTTTGCTGAAAAAATTTATTTAGGATACAATGATGAACGTTAATGTCAAAATAAGAAATGTGCAACACATTATATTCAGTTATAACCAGGGACGGGATTGCAATGATACATACATCACACGATTTAATGCCAGTGAATTGTCGTAATTACCATTTTCAAAAACAATTCAATTTTGTTAAATGTTAAGTTTCATGACTTACATGAATGACTTTGAAAACGTGGAGTTTTTTATCCGACCTATTGCATCATCAATTGTGCCTGAATTGACTATAATTATTAATAACAAGAGACGAAATAATACATGTTTAGGGCATTTACATTTCTCCAAATGACATTCTCTTTAATATATGCATGTTGAACCTCTTTTGCACCGTACATAGCCAACTCTGCTAATTGGATCGTGAGCTCAACATGTCCAATATGATGGCACGTGTCTTTTCATTTGTAAATTAAGTCGCATTTTTATGATTAAATGATCTACACTGACCTGTCAACCCATATGTTGAAATTGATGGACAAATCTGCGCGCAAATGGATGGTCGATTGAGCGGTTGGCAACAGCCTGTTTAAGTGTATGATAACAAACGTGTTTGTTTTAACACGACGATTGAACCCATCTCAAACGTTGGCCATGAAATGTGAAAATGCGGTGAAAACATCCGTTTTAAATGAAGCAATGTGCTAATGTATTTCACCACATTTTGACAAACCACAGCAAATATGTGTAAAATGTATCGATAACATTTGTTTAGGGCGTACATTACGCTTTACTGGTTTCAAGAGTTTTTAGCAAGATTTCTCTTTAAGAAGTGTTCAGTAAACATTCGTGTCCCAGCAGGTGACATTACCTATAGTGGCCTGAAATGCCCTTCATCTGTGTTGGGTTTATATTGCCTAACAAATGTTATCTACCATTATGACATTTTTATGTAACTCTTGTAATGTATCTCTGTAATAAAACGTCACCCAACAATGTCAGAAGGACGCGGTGTAATGGTACTTCACATCCAGAGCTGTGTATTGTTTCTACATCATTAGCATATCCTGCACGTGCAAGTACGCAGGAGGGCGTGGGTTCGATTCCCGACCCTAACGACGCCCCCTTGGTGGTTAGGTGGATTTTTCTCCAGTTTAGCTCTCCAAATTTAAAAACATACGTTTGGATGATTTGGCTGCTCCGATAAATTCTCACATGTTATGATGAGAAAGCCACTTCGATGAACTATCATGCATAGCCAGGTTGCCTCTGGTAAAAAGAGCCAATATCTCAGTTGATTTTATCTGGTGAATAGTTTATTTTAGTTATAACAAGGATGTGGAGCGAGGAATAAAGTGGTGGCACAGTGGTTAGCGCATTGTAGCATGAACACAGCGATCTGAGTTTAAAGGCTGTGAAGACATCACATTTGTATAAAACAAATGCCTGGATCACTCGTCAAAGTAAAAAAAAACATACAACGTAAATCTGATTACATTTTGTTCACTTTAAATATTATTTTTAGAATATGATTTTCAGCCCTCTCGTAAAATATGGTCCAACAACCGCCCTGTCCAATACACCGTGGATTGTGTCGCGTATCAATATTCAAACAGTGGTACCTGAGCGTGCGGCAAGGTGCTGAGCTGTGTAAAACAGGATCCCTTCTCCGGAACGTGGCATGAACTGGATACGGATGTGGGTGTGATGCCGCACGTTAAACGGCTCAAATGCCATCCACGATGATTGGTTTGTGCTGAACGAAGGGTCACTGATTTGCAGAACTGTGAAATACACACACCAACACGGTAGAGAGAGAGAGACGTGAGACCAGTACGCTCATGCAGGCTGAAGAGACACAGAGACCGGGCATGTGAAATTAATTAACGATCGTAAAAAAAAATTATAGTTGCAATCTTCAAGCACACGCAGACAAAATCATGTACAAAAATGACTGCCAACTGGCAGGAGAATGGAATGTTCTCTGATAATTTAGAATTGGAAATTATATAACAACGTGCATTAAAGATTAATTGTATTTTTATTACGTAGGATTGAGTCACTGTTGGGAATGATTGACTGCTGGGAACGATTGACTGCTGGGAATGAGTCACTGGTTGGTAATGAGTCACTGGGGGAATGATTCACTGCTTGGAATGAGTAATTGCTGGGAATAAGTCACTATTGAGAATGATTCACTGCAGAAAATTATTTATTGCTGGGATTGAGGCACTACTGGAAAGAAGTTACTGCTTTTAATGAGACACTTCTGGAAATGAATCATTGCTGGGAATGATTTATTGCTGAGAATGAATAATTGATGGCAAAAAATAATTGGTTGGAATCAGGTATTGCTGGGAATTAATTTCGACTGAGAATGAATTACTACTGGGAATTAATGACTGCTGGGAATGATTAATTTCTGGGAATGAGTTACCATTGGGAATGAATGATTGCTGGGAATGATTAAATGCCGAGAATGAATAATTAATGGAAAATATTCACTGGTAGGAATGAGTTACTGCTGGGAATTCATCAATTCTGGGAGTGGATTACCGTTGGGAATGAATGACTGATGTTAATTATTCATTGCTAGAAACGAGTTACCATTGTGAATTAATATTTTTTGGGAATGAATGACTGCTGACAAGGAATCACTGATTGTATAATGAATCACTGCTGGGAATTGATCACTGCTGGTAACGAGTCTCCGCCGGGAATGAAGTATCATTGCAAGGAAAGAATCACTCCTGGGAATTAGTCACGACCCGAATAAGGGGGGGGGGGGAGGGGGGGGGGAGATGAGTCCTACCCTGGTCGCAGTGGGCGCCTGCCTGGCCGAGAGCGCAGCGGCAGGTGTAGCCGTGCGGGTGCAGAGGGACGCAGGTGGCCCCGGCAGCGCAGCGGTGGGCAGGCCGGTGGTCGGCCCCACACGGGCACGCGCGCTCCGCACATTCGCTGCCTCGCCAGCCACGCGCGCAGCGACAGCTGGCGATGGCGAGAGGGGGTTTTGGGGTAACCGATCAAACAATAAACACGGGCAGTGGCGGCTACGCGCTGCGGCTTCTAATCCAGCAGCGTGGAGGCGAGAGTTGTTGGAATCGTACAAATGACAAAATGTTGCACAACGCCATACCCGTGGGCATCGAGGCTTGCTAGTGGAATGCAGTGCAGCAAAGTGTGGACTGGTATAATCTGTCCATTCTGTATGGGATAGAGTGTTGTCCCCTCGCATGCATGAGTTTTCTCTGGGTGCACCGGTTTTCTCTCACGTGTATCGTAAACATTCACTAATGGGCAATGGAAATTCTAAATTACAATGACAGGGGCCAGTCTGCCCGTAGGAAGTATACCGTTGACTTCTCGTAGAGTGGTACCTATTCCATCCACCATGAATGAATGACTGCAGGACTAAGTCATCAATCTCCGACTGGGATTTTAACTCATAACCTTCCAGCTGCAAATCTAACTCTGCAACAACAACAACAACAATGACGGCGTAACGAGGACGTTAACAACCGACCGACGAGCGAACGGGCGCGAGAGAAAAGGCGTACTGACTAGACGGAGGCGCCCAGCGGCACGCACGTCCCTCCGTTGAGGCAGCTGAGGAGCGCGCAGGGGTCGGAGAGGCACTGGCCCACACTGCGGCCTGCCACGGGGCGTGAGAGGCGGACGCTAGGAGCGTCCCCCAGGCCCGCGCGCACCCAGATGCCCAGCACACAACCTGCGCGCGCACTCACATGCCGGAGAACCGCCGACGGGTGAGGCGAAAGCTCGCGTGGCAACGGCGATCGTCTTGTCCGCCAAAGGAGAAGCGGCGAGTTCAGCATGGGCTTTACAGAAATGCACGCAAACGCGCCTGGAAAATAACCGGAGCTGGCCAATCGCCTGATGAAGCTGGTTTGTAATTACCGGCGAAACGTCGGACTCGAGTTGTAAATGTTGTGAGCTTAAATTTCGATTTAAAGCTTTCGTGACTGCAGGGATTCATCTTCTTGGTTACCTGAGGGCGGCTGCTTGTGTTGCGGCTGAAACGTCGTGAGAATTTGTATTTTATTATGTTTTATTTTTATTATTTTATTATTTCCTTTCTACGTGACTTTACAGAAAGAACCAAGAAGTTGTGAGCTTACTCTTCCAATACACCGGTGTGCTGACGGAGTAACTAATTGGTACGTTTTGTTTGCGTGATAAACCATACTAATTGGCTGTGTCGGGTGGTGGCGGGATTAATGACACCTTTGATATTTACGTGATCTAACCCCAAAAAAATATTTTGGGAACTTTAATACAAAAACTGAAGAGATACATTTTTATAATAAGTGACCGGTCAGACTCGTGGTTAGGATGTTTGCCTCTGAGCCAGTTTGCAAGGTTCCAAGGTTATATCATTATAACGCCTTTGTTCTCAGAGTGATTGAGTGATGGGTGATTGCTCATCTCATAGCTATAAATTCAACATTCCTTTGGCAAGGAGACGTTCATCCAAGGAACTAACACTGTGGAATTCCCGCAAAGTTTGACTCAATTTTATCAACCCCAGAGAGATAAAGGTGGATGAGTCGACCCCCAACTGGGATTTGAACCAATAACTTTCTTGCGGTGTGACGGGTACTCTGACGCAGCCCCATGCAGCAGCAAGATCTCGATTCCTAAAGCCGACGGGTAATTTCTATAGGGAATGGACCACTGTGTGCTGTCTGCTACAGGGCTGACATTTGTAGTAGACAAAATGGGTCGATTGGTGCTGCTGGATAACACGCCTGACTGCCTCTCTCCAACTACAGCTGGGGCACATTGAGATGTGCCTGTTTGAAAACACATTACGACAGTCTGCATATTATTAACTCCTGGAATGTATTAAAAGATTCATTGCGCCCAGGTGAGTCCATCGCCTGACATCCCCGACCACCAAACCTCTTCTCCCGAGACGATATAATGCTCTCTCTACAGCTCAATATATCCATGGCGAGTCCAGTCAGCCGAAATGTCGAGATCTTTGAAATTCCTGCTGTTGTTTTTTTTAATTCACCTATCATGCACGCGTTTACTGTGCTGAAGTAGGAACTTGGTAGATTACAATTAATACGTTATGTAATTATTTACACGTGTATTAATACTAATATGGATACTGATGGGTGATGCTACTGTTGCTGCTACTGCTGCTGAAGATGATCAAGTTAACGGTATTAAGGACGTTCAATCTAAATGCCCACCAATTCAACAGCACTCACATAGCGAAGTCTAGCAAACCATCACAACATTTCTGGCGATGCCATTCTGCAACGGCAGACGGCCCAATGCCTCGTGCACGCTTGGAATAACAGGAGGAGACAAGAAGAAACACCGGTGGATTAGTGAACAAACAAGAATCCAACACATCAGGCGGACGTAAAAGGAGTGAGATTGCATTCGGCAGGACTAGTTGCCGCAAGGAATAACGGCTGAAGGAAAACATGTGGGGCAGAGGCAGGCAATGAAGAGATGAAGTCGTGAATTATTGCTCATGTTGTTCCTGGGTAAGGATTGTGCCATTGGGAAGCCTTTACTCGACAACGGACTGACGATGAGTGATGATTACGATTGTGGGTTTTTTTCACGAGCAATCACTCGTGACACGGTTGCATGCACGCAGACGGAATTCCAGATGGGATTCATGATGCCAATGTGATTTGGAATCACTGATCCGGGTTGGTCAGCACCTCTCAGGCTTTGAATTAAGGGCACCAATTCCTGGCCTCAAACCAAATGGAAACAGTGTTGGAGTTTACGATGGAAATTTAATTCACATGGCCATGGTAATAACGGTCTGAATTCCCAGCAGATTGGCCACTGGGAATACACCGCTGGGAATAACATGACAAAGCAGTCTGGTAACTAGTTGTGAAGTCACGTCACGGATTTGCCCACTCTTTAAGTGGCAAATGCAGGTGAAAATCACCTGGATGCAGTAAATTGTCTGTGCTCTGACATCGTGGTAATGTGGATATGTTTTTTTATTGATTCCTTACTCACATCAGAATATTGTGGGGATTCAAAATACTATTGGGCTGGCATTGTTCGTGCTACTCGATATGGAAGGCAAAGTCTAAATTGTATTGATTCAAGCGGCCATGGAAATGAACACATGATGACTGTGGCGAGACACTGCTTGTTGAGACACTGGCAAGGCAATGGTGAAAATGGCATCATACCTGTAACAATACTCTTTGGTTCTTTCGGTAAAGTCACGTAGGTATAAAAACATATAATAGATCACGACGTTTCGATCGCAACACAAGCGTATATAACCTTGTTGTAACTGCTCTCTTGCTGGTTCAGCAGTTCCACTGCTGGATTTTTTTTTCCGCCTGAGGACGATCACCGCTATTGTGTTGAAATCGAAACGTCGTGATCTATTATTATTTTTTCTACTCTACGTGACTTTACCGAAAGAGCCAAAGACCGCTCTGCTGTCTTTAGAAATTGCATTATGACGGCGACAACTTTTGAACCTCAGCAACGCAACTCCGATTAGCGTGGTTGGCTGCGTGAAAATGAATTTCAACAGACATAACAAATGAAGAACGCCCGCCGTTCGCCGCTAAGTGGACGGTGGCGTCACAACGGCGCGCCTGTGCCAGGCCAGGTGCACCTTTAGGCCACGTGAAGTGTCGAAGGTTCACCGACATGGGGTTACGGGACAGACCCAGCAGGTGCCATGGGTTGGCTGACTCAGGTGGCTGGCAGATGCACCCACAGCTGTTAACCTCCCCACCCTCCTCTCCCAACTAGCCGCCCGGAGTTCCGCTAGTTGTTGTGAGCGTCGCTCTTCTGCCCCCCGTTGTTGCTGGAGGGTGACTGCCTCCAACTGCCCAGGAGCAACGTCCTTCACAAGACTATGGATTCCTGCGGTCACGGAAGCTTCAAATCAAGATTGAACCGATAACAATGATAATGTTGCTCATGTTAATGACAGCTACTATATCATAGCTTTATATTTGCTAGCTAATAGTGGTGACTAACTATAATCACGGCAATGGTGATTATTCAATTATATGAGCACAATTTCAATGTGTATTTCAACAAATAATTAATAATCAATTTTACAATTAACTCGACCATTTAATTTGCATGTGAATTTAAGCACTTTAATTTATCTGCAGGGCAGATTCTATATACCCAATCAGGGTGTGCAGTTAACCAAAACTCGTCATGCCTGTGCACTGCTTGAAAAAAGATGACAAAAATATCCCTTATTAAAAAAAAATCTTGACACTCATCAAGGCTTTCCTGGATAACTAATGCAGATTAATAATCTGTGCAGTTATTACATTTCCTACGCTTATTAAAAAATATACTGCAGTGTGCAGCTGTGCGCATTGGTCCCTGTATTATTATCATCAAACAAGGGGGACACATGATAAGTAACAACTGTAGCATCTCGACGCATTGTTGCATCCATCAACGACAATCCGTGATGGCAGCTTCATCACTTATGTAAACACTACTTATGTAAACACCACATGCATTACCTATCACCGTCGTCATGTCTATAATGGTGTTAAATAGCCTAGGTGTTTGGTCTCTATACGGTGGATTGATTTATGTCTTTAAATTATATGCACGCGTTGTTAAAGACACAAATATAACTCTTAACTTGACGATCCGTACGCTATGTAGGATGTGTCTCAAGCTGTATAACCAAGTATGAAGCTTCAATGCTGAGTAACAGGACTTTAGATTTAGTCATTTGCGAAGTGTGTACATTCAAGCGGCATTACAGTGAAGCGGTATTGTGGTGTATTTCAGGCAGGGTAAGTCGTAAGCTTGAACTAACCGAACAATGCACAACACTCAAGTTTAGCTAGCTTCATCAGGCAACAGCCAGATTTGTGGAGTAGGCGTAGATGTGGTGCCAACGCTTCTGAGCTCTTGCGCAAAGTGGGGGGGGGGGGGATTACTGAGTCAACGTACATTATGCATGTGCATTATGCAAGCCCTTTGATATTGTCCTTCCTGTCTTTTGTGTGTATTAAAATAGCCGTACCAACGGTAATTCCTATTGAAGTATGCTGCCCTTTATTGGTATGCATTTAAATAATGTATTACTTGATTATTCGCTTCTACGCAGCAAGGGCGCAGAAGTGTGGTCACCACATCTACGCCTCTATATAAGGAACGAAACAGGTGGACTTCTCCACAAATTTGGCTGTCACCTGAAGCTAGTTATAATTACTGGCGAAACGTCGTACTCAGATTGTAAATGTTGTGGCTTGGCTCTCCAACACACCGGTGTGCTGTACTAGTGACAAATTGGCATGTTCTGTTTACGTGACAACCCTTACTAGTTGGCTGTGTCGGGTGGTGGCGGGTTTTAACGACACATTTATTTACGCGATCTCACCCAAAAAAAACTCTATTATGAACTCGTATTTATTTTTTAAAAAATATGACATTCTCACTTCATTAAACAGAGCGTTCTCATCCAAGACGTTACCCTGAAAACTGTGCAGGAAGCGAGCCCCATCTGGCAGGAGCGCGGGCGTGAATTCGTTCAGTCCACCGACGTACAGTTGGCTGAAGACGTTGAGGCCGGATAATTGTCCGGGAGAGGCTCCGGAGACGTTCCGCTGCCCGTCCACCTGGAGAGGGGTCGGCAGGCGGCGGGGGGAGAAGGGGGGGTTCCGGGGGGATTGCATTGTGACCATCTCGTCAGAGCGCACGTGCTCTGACCGATCTGCGGTCTTTCGAAATTGCATTATGACGGCGACAACTTTTGAACCTCAGCAACACGCAACTCCGAGTAGCGCGGTTGGCTGCGCGCGTTGCGAAAAATGAAGTTCAACAGACGTAACAAATGCGAACGCCCGCCGTTCGCCGCTAAGTGGACGGTGGCGTCACAACGGCGCGCCTGTGCCAGGCCAGGTGCACCTTTAGGCCACGTGAAGTGTCGAAGGCTCACCGACACGGGGTTATGGGACATACCCAGCAGGTGCCATGGGTTGGCTGACTGAGATGACTGGCAGATGGACCCAGCTGCCAACTTGCCGCCCGGCGTTCCGCTCGTTGTTGTGAGCGTCGCTCCTCTGCCCTCCGTTGTTGCTGGAGGGTGACTGCCTCCAACTGCCCAGGAGCAACGTCCTTTACAAGCCTCCTCCATAGTTCAACACACATACGTACACACTGCGTTGCGACGAACGCAAGCGTTGCGTGTTTTTGTAAAAAGACGGCTTGCAAACATTGGCGGTCCTGAGCCAGCAGCGGAGATTCCACAATCCTCCAGCGTAAAGGCCAGTTAGCGACAGGGTACGCCTAAGGTCGACATCCCACGGTCTGGTTCTCATGAATGAATGTTGGGCCGAGTCACCTACCTACTGAGATTTAAACTCACGACCTTGCGATCGTAAGTTGAGTGCTCTTACCATAGCGCCACCCAGCTGGTTATAAGCAGTTCACACATTATAGAGTGTATTCTCTGTGCGTGTGTATACATTGTGAATTTACAATATATCCTATGGTAGGATAGGGTACAATGTAAACATAACCCATGAAAATATGAGGCCGTGTCCGTGTGCAATGTGTACAATTAATTAAAAATGAGCAACGTACTACACACAGGTCAGACTGACATGCAAATATTGGAAAAAGTAATTAACCAATTTTTTAAATTGTGATTGACCTCAGCTTACCTTTAGCCTGGCCTCACAGGGTAATCAGAGTTCTCAGCGCAGGAAACACGCTATTAAATTATTTATTTTATCAACGCAGCAATAATTAATAACCAAACCACTGAGGTTATAAATTAAAACATTGGCTGGGAAATGGCTTCCAGAAGGGATGTCAACCTTCGAAATTCACGAGAATAATGTAGGGACTCGATTCAGTTTATGCGTTAACTGAATTGACATCATTATTTAAATTGGGATACCAAGTGTCAAAATATATACTCAGACTCGACGTCAACCTGGGCCTGTATGCAGATTCATGAGGCCACGTGAATACATTTGTCACATGCCTCATATATTTTAATGGTCGCAATTACTCCATTATCATACAATTTCACTACGCCATTGCTGCAGTAGATTTGTTTAAAATAGTGCACCTGCTTCAAATATCAACGTTAAATGTCATTATCGTGCAAAATAAAAAAAAAAAACTTATTTAGAGTTCATTAATGTCATTCTTGTCAGTCACCATTAAAACAATAATTATATTGCCTTTGTCAATCATATTACATGAATGCAAATTATTTGACCAATTCAATTACTCCTGGGTGTAGGAATGTATACAAGTAGGGTTGATGGATCATGCACAGATGGAGCCATCAAATGATCTAAGACGACCACCAATCTGAAAAAGGAGGTGCCTTTAGGAGGCAGTACAGCAAGTAGGCTTTTTCGGTTAGATCATGCAAGTTTAAATGTGTCATTAACCAGCGACCACTCGACACAGCCAATTAATAAGGTTTGTCACGTGAACAAAACATGCCTATTAGTTACTACTTCAGGCTACCGTTGTGTTGGACAGTAAATCCACAACATTTACAATTTGAGTACGACGTTCCACTCGTATTTACATCCAGCATCATCGGGCTATTTTTTTTTATAAATAATATTGTTCGCGAAAGCCTATGTGTCAAATAGCAAGTGGTCCTTACAACAAGAAGGCTTGAGATTGTGAGAGTTCTCCCCATTCATGTATGGGGTTTCTCGAGTCACACATATGCAGGGAATTAGCCAAATGTCCCAAAGCACTACCTCTCCGAAAGAAACCTTTAAATGTATTTGCAGTTTATCTCTTCCAAAATTATATTCCAACAATGTAATCAGCATCATGTCATAAGATCAAACATTAATTCGGAACTCTTGCAGAAAAGTGGATCAATCTTTGTTAAATGACAACCTGAGAAAACAGATATAATGGAACTGCTTTTTAAATACCTTTAAGTGAAAATTTGTATCCGCACATTAGGGGATGTACTGTCACAGATGTTCTGCTACAGTTAAATCTTTAGTTCTTGGAAGTCAAAAACATTTTTGATTTTCAAAGCTGGAATGTAACCAAACCAATTTTAAAAAAATGTATGTCACAGTTTTGTGCCTGCGTGTGTACATTCATGAGTGCCTTAGCTGATATCCATCAACTCACGACACCTGGAACCCGTTAAATCACAGGATGCTGCCTGGGATTGAACTCAGGAAATCAGCAATGCTGGTTCAATACTGGTTTAACACGTAGGCTTTCGCGACCAATATTATTCATAATCAACGTTTTTGGGTTTAGATCGCGTTATTTATAAATGTGTCGTAACCCTCCACCACCCGACACGGCCAATCAGTAAAAAAGTGTTACGTTGACAAAAGACAAATTAGTTCACTGCTTTAGCCCACCGGTGTGTTGAAGTGCGAAACCACAACATTTACAATTTGAGTACGACGTTTCGCTGGTAATTGCATTCAGCATCATCAGGCAATTCGCCAGAATGGTGAGGCTCTACTGTGTCTCCCGTTCTTATATAGAGCAGCAGCAGGGTGACGTCATCATTAACTCATTAACTCAATACTTTTACCCCTGAACAACCCGGCCAACTATACTCAACAAGAGTCATGAAATACAATGTGGCTTTCTTTAAAAAAAACGTTACTATTTTCTCCGAGTTAAATTGCCATAGGGCAGTGCTGGTATCCATGCATGGTCTCAGCCAGAGGTGAAACATTCAACGTTCCTATGACAGGGGCTAGTCACTCCGTTGGACAACTCCTGTTTACATCCCACAAAGGACTCGGAACCCATCAACTCTCACGAGAGATATGAACTTGAAATGTTTACATTGTGACTCGGGTATTCTAACGCCTCCGACACATACGCCCCCATATGTATTCTCATAAATTGTAGGGTTTTTTTTTCGTTCATTGTTCCTCAGAAACATGCTTCGCACTTGTCGGCAATAGCGCGCGGTCACACAAGCATGTGCATTTTATATAGAGCGTGCAATGAAATGCTTACAAACCCACAAAATGTACTACAACCAAAATAGCATGAGCTTGCAACACCAGACCATCTGCTCGCAACGATTTAGCACCCTTCCACATGTTCACACAGGCATTCAATAAGTAATTTTGGATGTAATGCTTCTTTATCCTGGAGCAAGCTCTCCGGCAATATGAATTCGACATCGCAGAGCACTGCAGTGGCTATTAGATAGTATCTTCCTCGCTTGGTAAGCAGGAGGTTGTGGGTTCGACCCCTGACCCTGACGATGTCTGTTGCATATTTGGAGTTCGCGTGGATTTTTCTCCACGTTGCTTCGGTTTTTCCCTCCACAAATATGAACAAGCATTGAGATGATTTGACTGCTACTATAAATTCTCACTTAACGGTGATATCAGCCACTTCGATTTAGATATGTGTGACCAGGTCACTTCTGAAAAAGATCTAATAGCTCAGTTGGCTTCACCTGGTAACACAGTTTAATGTTTTAATTACTGAGATAAACAAACGAAATATATCTCTCTATGTATCTTGGTGATATCTGTCTGCTTATATGTCTGTCTGTGGTTTTCTGGTTAGATTTTGTGTCGCTATTTCATTATACCTGATGATGATTGCTTGTGTTGCAATCGAAACGTCGTATGCTATTATTTAATTTATTATTTTATCTTTATACGTGATTTTACCGAAAGAACCAAAGAGTAAACGAAATATCAGCTTTACATTTTTAATAATGTAAGCACATTGACAATACACTGCTTGATGAAAGCCTCCCAATTCTGTCTCGGTCGTGCAGTTTGCTTTACCATACTTCATAATACTCGTGAGTGTGGATATATGAAAGGAAATTCCCAAACTCAAGAGGTCATTACAGATAAAGTTGTTCATGCCACTACACCTCACCATCGCTCCCGTATGGTAGCACCCTCAGCACTTGCAGTCAACACAAGTGCATTGTGGTGTGTTTGCGTCAGCTGCTTGGGAAGGCAGCTTGTGTTTTCTGCCTTCTGATTTTGAGTTCGTGCACACTTTGAGTGACTTGTTACCTACAATTTTAAACCCATTTTCAGCATCTACGCAGAAATTCACGAACTCAACATGTGTTTGGTGCATGTACCACAATCTGTACGTCTACTAATCATGGAACAACAAAACGAACAATGTACGCTCTTTTATAAAGACAACGTTTCGACAGCCAAACATTTCGTGAAGTTCACAAGAGGAAGCCGTTATTTTTGCCAGCCGTCATTTGCACAAAAACAAAAGGAGACAGACTTTGAATGTTAAAGGGACTCCACCACTGGACACGTGTGAAACAGAGCATCATCGCTCATCGGATTCGTCCAGCGTAAAACAAATATTCTGATTTCGATGAATAAAGGGGACACTGCGTGGCAACAAAGGGCAACTTGTACGGTGCGTTACCTGCAGCCACCCGCGGGTGAGTGTCCTGCCCAGGTGGACTGTGTGCATGTGCAGGCGGGTGTCCACGGGATCGCTGAACAGGGACGCAGTCCCCGAGCCGAGATTGTAGCGATAAACCACCCTGCTGCCTTCAAGCCCCAGTGCCAAGAAGTCGTCGCCATCCAAGCCTGCGGTTGCGACAACGCAGAGAATAAACGCAATATGCTGGGGCACATTGGGCTCTCAGCAGAAGGGGAGGGGGGTAGAAAAGACCACGTAGGCACTTTCTCAGTGGCTAGACCATGCAAGCATTTTTCATGAAAAAAAATCAATTAAATGTAGGTTCATTACTGTTGCGTACGGGTCACAGAGCGAGACCGCGAGAGACGGTGACAGCTCGTCCAGCGGCGTTTAGATCATTGCTGATGTTGATTGTTCATAGTGCTGAGGACTCGAAACGATGCGGCAGAAGACAATCGTAAACATAATTGAAAGAGGCGGTTGTGATGGCGAGGTACAAGTCTAATCAGAATCAGAATCTGTATTTATACTGGAGGAATCCGATGAGCTATGAAGCTCTTTTTCACCGATGTCCGGTAGGGGCGGGTCAGAAAATTACAAAAACAAACATTACAGAAACTCGATAGGCGTGAAAAGCATAAGAAAGGTAAGCAAATGACAAAAACAGTACCTATTCTTTATTACCAGGTAAAGCCGACTGAGCTATTAGCTTTTTCAGAAGCGACCTGGCCACAAATGAAGGCTCAACGAAGTAGCTTATCATGTGGAAATTAATATTTGTCAAATACTCGTGCAATGGACTGGCACCCAGAGGTCAGCTGACACAGGGGTGGGACCCTGTAACGGCGAACCTTGGATTCTAGCTGCTGACAGTGCAGGCTCTAGCACAAGGCGAGAGTGGGCCAATGTGTAGTGCCGTTAATGACATTGGATGTGATGATCTCTTGACCTTGACTTTAAATCTTGCACCAGGTTCCAGGGCCTATCAGTCCGCAGAGAGTGTATCGTATTACAATGTTGCTGCTTCGGCGCACATATGCAATAAATTGCAGGTCATGTTACAACAATGAAAATGACATTTTTTTTATTACCGTCACTGAAAAGGAAGATCTTCATATTTTTGTAAAATGGCATAATTCAGAAAATAGATAATACATTTTTTTAAAACATCAGATACTGTGACAGTAGAAAAAAATAAACATTTGGAAAAAAATACGTGACCTTTCAGTCATTGCGAGTGAATGTGCTATGCTCACCATGGCACAAACACACGGGATCAGCTCTGATGGGAATTCTCAGTGGCACAAATCCCCCCATTGCTCACTGTGATGATCCCGAGGCTGGCCCACACTCGTAACAAGCCCATTCCACCAGGGCCTGATTAAACAACAGCTGGAGCATGCGGCTGTCTATGGGGCGGTCAGGCTTGTCAAGGGATGGGAGCATACATTATTGTTCTGGATTTTTTGTTTGCCAAATATACTGTGTACCGCATGAATATGCTTACATATATGTTCTAAAAATAGGCGCCGATTAGAAAACATGTGCTAAGCACGATCTGCTTGAAATGACACTGAGAGACAGGAAGAGAAACACAAATCAGAGACCTTATTAATGATAAGAAAATGAAATTAGCTTTGGCAGAAAATATCACGAGACTTGATTATAGCCGATGGATGAGACTGATGACGGAATGTACGTATGTGTATGCATGTATGTTGGACTACTTTTCCACCGTACGTAGCCAACCGGGCTAATTGGAGGTGCACTTTGGTTAGTGACCTGAGCATTTATGTTAACTTGGACATACAGTCTTCGCAGCCTTTATAACTATCTTTGATATTTCCTTATTATCTTAAGTTATGTTGGCTATGTATGGTGTGAAAGAAGCTCAACATACATAATAATACAAATTATAGCCCTTATTAAATCCACTGCCTTTCGATTTAAAGCTTTCGTGACTGCAGGGATTCATCTTCTTGGTTTATTTCGGTAAAGTCACGTAGAAGGGAAGTAATAAAATAATAAAAATAAAACAATAAAACATAATAAAATAATTCTCACGACGTTTCGGCTACAACGCAAGCAGCCGTCTTCAGGTGAAGAATGAGACACTGCCAAGCTTATATATAAGCTCCTAGCTTGGCAGTGTCTCATTCTTCACATGAAGACGGCTGCTTGCGTTGTAGCCGAAACGTCGTGAGAATTATTTTATTGTGTTTTATTTTTATTATTTTATTACTTCCCTTCTACGTGACTTTACCGAAAAAACCAAGAAGATCCACTGCCTTTGCTATTTCAGCATGTGTGGGTTAGTGTTAGGGTGGTGGTTCAGTAATTCACGAACTGCGGCATGAACCCGGTGACTTCGGTTCAATTTCCAGCCATGGCGAACATCAGCAGCAATGTGGTGTTCTGAATCCTCTCTCGGGGTGACTTAGCCTTAAATTGGCTGCAGGATATTTTGTTTGCGGATTGGGGTGGCACCCTTCCCAGACGATGAATCTGGCTAAAAAACTGTTCCGTTAATAATTCCGGGTAATTCCAGAATTCCGCATACGTTGGAAAAGAAGCTCTACTTTAATTTGATTATGCGTCGCCCATATCTTATTATCATTATGAACAAACATTCCATGTCTAATCTAATAGCTGCTGTGGAAATCCGGGTTTTAAAACGACCACCTAAGTATCATTTTCATAGTCTTCGGTAATCTCAATAGCTTGAAAGTATGATTCATCCACAAAACAAACATCTGAACTTGATTTGCCATTAACATCAAAGATATTTTTTGTTGTGGGTAACTTTAGGAGCTCATTTGTTTGCGGATGTAGGGCATGATGCATTAATGTGTGTTCCTTTTCAAAGTGACTTCTGAGAAAAAAATATATAAATCTTTAATGATTATTTACAACTACACACAAACAAGAACAAAACACAATAAACTTATGTGTATAAAATGATGAAATGTTATTACCCCCTTTGTTAAACCGACCACACTTTAAGTATTTTAATGCGGGCATCAGGCTCATCATGATTAGGCAACCGTGCTATTTTACAGCCAACATGTTTCACTATCAATCCAAACATCCACGTTGTTAACACTCTCTCATACTACCCTATAACAGTTTAACAAGTAGACTTTCACTATCAATATTATCAATAACAGAGGTTTTTGGGTTAGAGAGCGTAAATATAAATGTGTCGTTAAACCCGCCACCACCCGACACAGCCAATTAGTGAGGTTTGTCACGTAAACGAAACATGCCAATTCGTTACTAGTACAGCCCACTGGTGTGTTGGAGAGTAAACCCACAACATTTACAATTCCTATAACACGTTGTATGTATGCATGTTGATCTTCTTTCAAACCCGTACGTAGCCAACCTTGCTAATCGGAAGTGGGCAGGGGGGGGAACGAAAACAAACTAAACACAAAAGCAGTTCTAAAGAAATTAGTTGTCAATTTTTGTTTCCAATTCAAGGCATGACAGCACACTGCACAATCACGGCTTTAACGTTTGACTTTAATTTAATGGCATTTGGTTTTCATGCAAAGATAACGTGGACACAGGGTAATGCCGCAATTAATAATTTTGAGATTTTTTTCTCTAGCCGACATAACTACTTTTTTGAACACGAACAGTTACGTTTACACGATCCTATTCCTTCATGGTGCTTGTACGTAACCAATTTCCGAGCACTATTTGTGACAGGCACCGAATTCATTTTGGAAGGTGTGTAATTTGTGCAAGCTTTGCTCAGTTTCAGTCAAAGTGCTCCGCCGGAATGATCTGCAATCCCTGTACCCTATTCAAGCGCCAACATGGACACCTTCCTGCTACGCCTTTGCTTATCACTCCGTATTCCGTTGTCTCAACTCTGTTTTCATACGGCATTGTGAGATGCGGTTGCATGTAGACGCTGGATAAATACAAATCGTTCCACGCATCGCTATCTCTCGCATTGGTCAACTTCATGCGTGTACTGTATATTTAACTTCTTTCACACAGTACGTAGCTAATCGGAAATTCGGGGGGTGGGAGGGGGGTGACAACAAACTAAACATACAAAAATCTAGACTTGAAGTTTTCGTGACTGCAAGGATCCATACTTTTGGGTTTTTTTCGGTAAAGTCACGTAGGTAAAAAAATAAAATAAATTAAAATGAAAAATAACTAAATGAAATCACGACGTTTCGGAAGCAACACAAGCCTCCGTCTTCAGGTGTTTAGAGAACCGATTCTCTAAACCGATTCTCTAAATATATAATTCTCTAAAACAGCTCTCTTTATTCACCACAGTAACTTTTCTGTGGCGGTTCCACCTGAAGACGGAGGCTTGTGTTGCTTCCGAAACGTCGTGATTTAATTTTGTTGTTTTCATTTTAATTTATTTAATTAGTTTACCTACGTAACTTTACCGAAAATAACTAAACGTATACAAAAAGCTGTTTAGGGTCACACACATTTGTGAAGAGAAACTTGATGCCAACAAACGAACCAAAGGTGGACACACAATTCACAAGCAATATATTTGAAGCGCTCTTTTCACTACACCCATTAAAATAGCGTTGCAATATATTTTTACTTGAAAGAATGAAAATAAATGAAATTCTGTCCAAACTTTAAACTGATTGCAATCCAATTAATTACAGGAATTTCCAATTACTTTGGATTAAGCACTCAAACCGTGGTGTTAAGCCAATTCATGCATCAGTACCCTAGATTGGTTTGTTTCTCCTGAAAAGCGAATGTTAAGTGTGTGTGCACTTGTTTGTTAGGGAAACGCATTGCATTGTCACGTGGTGCAGACGTAACTGAACGTATAACGGACCATAAAAAAAACAGCAGCGTCAGTCGAATGCTGCGTATTCCAACGGGCTGGAATATTTGCCTTCTCCACTAACCTGTGACGAACGGTTATCGATTTACCAGCCACGTTAAATTAGTTGTATTAGCATAATTAATATCGCTCTTGAATGAGTTTTGCTTCCGTGTGTGCGTTTTTGGTAAATGTGCATTATCTCATGCCGATGGGCTAAATGTTGCTTTATTTTAATATTTGTTTATTGCTGTATCATCCACAATCTAACACAAAATGACCTCTTCGCCCCAATACTCCGATTACTGCGATGGCTCCCAATCCAGTCCCAAATCAACTTCAAGA